TAAGCCTCCTGTTATCCCAGGTACAAAACATCTCCTTACTTGCTGCTCTTGAAGGGAATCACTGTATATTTCCCTGGAAAGTTATTTGTTTGGACTACAGCTTCTATAATGTCTCAGGTAGCATGATCACAGACAATGCTGTCTGGAGATTATAAGAATCTTTGTCCAATTAAAAATAAAATAAAATCCTACCCAAGCTGTTACCTTGTGAGCGAAGATGTCTTCAGAAAAGGGCATGTTGCTCAGCCTGCCTGGACTTTGAGGTCATCAGGGAGGCTCTTTTCTTGGCCACACCATCTTGGGTATGTTTGGGCAAAGAGGCAAGACACATCTTTCTTGGTGGCTGCTCCAAGAGAAGCTAGCCTGACCTCATCCTCCATGTCTTTCTTGTATAATAAATACGACATCTTTTTCTTCATGCAGAAAAAGATGATTCTGAAAGACCCTTATGTTCTTAGGTGGGGGGTTTAACATGTTTCAAGTTGTTTCTGATTTCTGACCTTATCATGGGGTTTGTTAGGCAAGATTAATGGGGAGCGGGGGAGTTACCCAAAGTCAAGTTTCTTTGCCTCTTTATGGTCGTAGGGGCATCAAGAACCTACCAAAGTTGGTGACTTACTCCACGGTATCATTCCTTTTTGGCAGTTGCCTATGTATTGAAGCATGAAGAAGATGAGGATGAGCAGGAACCAGAAAAGAAACCGCCCCCAATCAAACCTCCAGTCAAGGAAAAGGTCCCGGTCCAAGTCCAGGTCCAGGTCCAAGTCCAGGAAGTGAAGCCGGAACCAATAGAACCATCGGGTGAAGGTTTGTGGACAGAAAAAAAAATACTGACTTAAATGGCTATACCGTATAATTTCCTCAACTCCACAAGATAGATTTAAAGTGAAAGCCTCACCTATCAGTGCACATAATTCTTTTTGAACAGCATACATGACTAGAGCAAGTTGTCCAATCCTAGTTTCCTGCTCCTCACTGGTCAGGGATTGTTGTGTAGCTCTGCATGCTGAAAAACCCAAGTTCAATCTCTGGGGAGATGGATGATAGGAAAAACCTATCCCTATCCATGACCTTGGAGCGCTACTGCCAACCTGAATAAACAATGCTGGGTAAGACAGTTTGCCTCCATATAAAGCAGCATCCTGTGCTCAGATATTAAGAGAAGTTACATAATGTAACTACTTCACTCCCAACTTGCAATAAGCAAGTGCATAATCCTGGTACTGAGTTAGCAGCTAGGAAGGCCCAAAAACTCTCTGCTAATACATATGAGAAATTTTTACAAGGCAAAGAGATTACCTATGTTGTTGACTCAACTTCCCTTTTTGTACTCCCCATTCGGAAGACGATGATCTCCCAAAGCCCTCCACCTCAGATGAAAAGGACTCCAGAGAAACACAAACCCATCCACGTCATTTCCCGAAATCATCAGCAAGGGTCACACTGGATGAGATCCTGCGCGGGATGCAAAGGATCCAGTTTATTATGGATAACACAGGTATATGAAAAGGTCTTTCTATTTTGTATCAAATGATAGAAGCCTTAACTCCAAGAGTTTATTTATTCTGTACTGTCGGATAGATTGGTGAACTAAATGTTTAAAGCTGTCTTCCTGCACCTGTACAAGTAGATATACTTTCTATATCTGTTTGTTCATATCCAGATGGTACATTAAAACACCACCCATCAAAAACAAAGTTGGCCAGATCTAGCCTATAAGAATGTGTCCAATTCTGATCATATTTAAGGATGTCAACAAGCTGAAATGTGTCTAAAAGAAGGCAATTAATGTGAGGAAAGGTCAGGAAACCAATCCTTGTGAACTCAGTAAAGCCATTTATGGTATGCGAGTGACAGAGACCAATGAGAAGAATCAAACGAATGGATCCAAATAATAGGAAGGTTCTGACTAAATGAAAGAACAGAGATTGAGAGAACTGTAAACATTCATTAGAAGATTTCAAACAGGGGTTTGGTGGCTATCTTTTAGGGTGCTTTAGAAGGGGGTTCCTATTAACTCAATAGTTCCTGGGTTCCCTTTCAAATCTATGCCTCTGTGGTCTTTTTAAAGAGACTTAAGGAATATTTATTAATGGCATACTGTTGCATGAACTAGAATCTATTTCATAAGATCCATAACCCTTTATGGCTAAGTTAGGATAAGGTGACAGGCACAGAATATGCTATCTTTATATCAGCAATTGATGGGAACTTTAACATGAAACTACCAAATTAGTTTATCAGGAATTAGTTTATCACGTTCTGTGACATGCACAGATACCATTTTCCCCTCGCACTTTATGTGTTACTAGCACTTCTTTGTTCATGATCACTGTAGTGATTTCTCCATATAGACATTTACTTATCAGCCTATACCTTTTGCATAACATACCTCCTGTGACTTTGCTCTTTACCATTGTCAGCTCCAGACAGCCATGTATATATGTGTCTGTCAACTAGGAACATATTTTTCATGTTACATATGAAACAGCAAAATGCATCCCACTTCTCGAATAACTGTCATAACAATCATTGCTGTCTACATAAGACTCAAAACGATGTGTTTTTCTTTGCAGTGACTGATTTTGAGCAGCGTATCTCCCGCTTGGAGAGGATAGTTTTGAAAATGAGGAATGCGTGGATTCACCACAGAACTTGCCATCTTGAGGGTCTGGAATACGATGATGAACATGAAGACTAATTTTTAAAATGGCTTTCATAATGTTTGATTTTTTAATAACTATGTTAGAAATTTGTACATCAGTACCCTCTTTTCTCCCAAAACAACTGTGAATCCACAGTTTTTCAAAGCTTTCTATTTATAAGATCGCTACCTTCAGTTAAAGACATTTACTTTAGAATTCTAATTCTAATTATCAATCTATGGCTAGCTTGCCTTCATGTTCTTACACTTCCATACTTAAAATACAGATGCACGAGTATGCTCTCTGACTCTCAAAACTTGGAAGTTATTTTTGGACTGCATCTTCCAGCAGCCATGGCTACGCTGCTGGGGAAGCTTTGGGAGATGTTGTCCAAAAAAACCTCTGACATTTCCAACCAGTGGGGTGGTGCAGTACATGCCAACATTTGGAGATAAATTGGTGGTGGGGGAGAATATACAAGCCAGTAGTAGAGAAGTTGAGAAAGCAGAGGCAAAACCAAGATAGGCAAAATGGACTGGATTGAGTTACAAAAAGCTCCTTGAGGTGTAATAGAAGCCAGCAAGAAACAAACCAAAATTGCAATAATTTGGATTCCTACTTTTGCATAAATAATGACAGATGCTGGAAGAAACTTTATAATGTCAGATAAGGTTATATATGGAGTTTTAACTCTCAGCATGTGGTGATAGAAACTCCAACATAAACTACCACAATCACAGCAAATAGCATGCAGAACTATAATCTTGGAAGACCTTGAGATGGGTCAGTGAACGAAACATCTTCCTGTAGCAGTATTTTTTAGGATGGTGACTCCGCCACCTAAACCAGACTCATCCACCTAAACCAATAAACCAGCTAGTAAGGGCAGCTCAACTTGTTAACAGCTTCCCAAAGACTCAGGGTTTTCATACATTGTTACTTGGGATCCTTTTTAAAGAATATGCCTGAAATTCAGTGGTCTTTACACACATTACATCTAGACATTATTACATATGTAATACTCCCATATCCCAAGTTTTTGAGGTTTACTATGTTTACTCACGTGTATCTTCAGCTGCAAGGTACTTAATCCTCCTTCCTTGCAAATGTTCAGTGACCACAGCCCTTGAGATCACTTCTTGAGGAAATAATGCAATTCTATACACATGTACAGAGTTTAGTGAGATTTTGTCTTATGTGTGCACATGACTACAACCTGAGACAGGTACGCACTGTAAACCACCCAATGAGGAATTTATAATCCCATCCATTCTCTTCTCCCTGAAAACTGATCTGTGCAGTTATCAGTAGTACAACATGTTACTGAAGGAAAAAGGCTTTAGCTTGTTATGGATCTTATCATTCTTCAAAATAAAACAAATCTCAAACAGGACTGTAACAACATGGGTTCGTTTATTTCTCCTGCCTAACTCCCCTCCAAAATAGACTTCTCTCCCAAAGATACTTGAGGGTTGTTTGCTGTGAAAAGGGCAGATTGTAGTTGTTGGGTAGAGTTATGTATATCCCACCCCACACAAAAGGAACCGATTAGTAGACCATCTGTAAATAACTAACCTCTGAATACAATGCATAGGGACCAATCCTCTGTGAAGTTGTCCTGTACAAGCCCACCAAAACACCATGCTCTTGTAAATCTCATTAAGTTTCACTGAGATTTGTGATGGAGTGTTTGCTGTTAGCTTGCGCCCACAGACAGAAAGTGCCTATAATATGAGACCTTGAAGTACAACTGCAGGCAAAGGTTTGTTTTACATTTTATAGATGTGGCAGTCTGAAGTGGCACGCCTGGGATGACTTACACTGTCACTATATGTATGGTATACTAGCAACATGCTCAACATTTTAATACACCAGCACTGCATGTCACTATGAAATGCATACACCAGGCCGAAGGTAATTTTCCATACATGAAATTAGAAAATGTATTTGTGAGTGTTGTTAAAGCTGCAAAGAAAACAAAGTGGGGGGAGATACCATAAAACTGAAATATACATTTTGGGCAGCTAAGTCTTATACAGTGCTTTCATAAACCAATCTAATCAGAATTTATGAAACCGTTACTAGGAGTCTCTATGAAGTAAAAAACAAAACAAAATCAAAAATACTCTAGCCCATCTTAACCCTTCACAAAGCCACTTAAATATTCCATTCTTCCACTGTCTATATTTCTTAAAGCATGATGAAGTTTGCTTCTGACAATGAAATTTACCTATCAGGAAATCTGATAGTTTTCTCCCCAATCAATGGGTTCGCTACACACTGGCCAGTCAAATTACAACATTAATCAAAAACACTTTAAAGAAAAACATACTTCAAGCAGTTAAAACTAAAAAATAAAGTGGATTTTTTTAATTTAAAAGCTCAAAAATAACAAGCCTTATGTTTTTGAAACATGTAGGAAACACATAATGCAATATATAGTCTATGATACAATATACACTATAATACATGGGGGGGGGGGGTGATAGGAAGTACTTTAAAGAAGAAGGGCGATAGGAAGGAAAACACCAGTTTGCCTAGAAAAAGAAATCYAAGAGAACAAAAAAATTAAAGGAGAAAGGTGAGGGGAAGGAAAACACCAGTTTGCCTAGAAATTKTTTTTTWAAAAAACCCCAACGAAGGATCTGGGATGAAAGAAGGAATGAACTCAATTTTTGATGGTAAAAAATGCTTGTATTTTAGCACACACACCATCACCTGATTTTACCAGGGCCTGTTAAGTACAATCCCGAAAAGGATAGTGGCATATTGCTCTAATTCAGTGAAAGCAATCTGGTTTTACATTTGGAGCTGTTCCACGATGTGCACAGAAAGCTGCTGAACCAAGCAGTGCAGAATTGCACATGAAGCCACATAGCTTCCTGATACAATTTGTATAAGTTCATCCTTCTGTTTTATTTGTGGCTGCCTTGCCGAGGGCCCACAGCTATGATCCAGCAACTCTAGTAACTACAGACAAGGGTTGCTGTTCACAAATGGACATCCATTACTCTCCTGAGCAAAGTGCTTCTGCCACACACATCCTAGAAAGTCCTGGGCGTACACAAAGCATGACCTGACAATGGCACTGTTGGGGGACAGGGCCTTGCATTCGCAGAGACTTTGGGCTTTAAAAAAAAAACACATACACACAATTAAATTAAAAAATTGCTCACAATACATAATTTGAAACTGGGGGGAAATATAAGGCAACATTCTCTGTAGAAAAAAAAGGTTTCCTAAGTAGGTTCTTTTTAATATAGAGATATATATTTATATATATATTTATATTTTTTAAATATAAAGTAGGAATGTGCTTGGAGGACTGAGAGTCCCGTTTTCAGGTGGTTTCCTGGTCCCCCATTCAAAAGCTTCACAAGCACATGGGGGCAGCGGATGGGAAGAGGGAAGCAGAATTTTGAGTGGGATCTACAGTTCACTGGTGCTACTATCAAGGGCACAAGGAAGCCCCTGGGTGTAGCAGAACAGGGAGTTCGCTTTTCAAGCTCCTGAGGCCAGTGGGTAGATGGGCTTCGTGCCTAGCTGTTTCATCCCCTGATCACTGCTCGGCTTTGTGCTGATTTTAGGTCCCAGATAGTTGCCTTCATTCTGAGCTGAAGCCACAGCGTCTGATGATCCTTCGAAGAAGTTCCAAAGGAGTAGAGGTCGTCTGAGCCAAGGAACAGTGGCTGTTAACCAGTTCCCTGCACAGATGCCATTGTCCCAATGAGGAGTGTTTCTTAGGCATTTTGCTCTCCTTGTGGAGATTCCCATCGCCCACATGAAGGGGTTATTACCACCCCTACTGCTCCCCCACTTTTCCTGGTTGCATCCAACCCTACAAGTTCTTGGTGACCAGGTGGGTTTTATAGTGCTTCGTCAGATGATCACTTCTAATGAAGCGCTTTTGGCACTGAGCGCACTCAAAACGTTTGTCACCTGCCCAGAGGAAGAAACAAGAGCAAAAACTGAGAATGCAAAATAGGTCATTGCACACATACAGCAACTTGTGACATGCACAAAAGTAGTGATAGATGCCTGCTTAGATGGTTTAATTCTGCCCTTCCCCCAACCCAATATTTCAGCCAGGATTCCTAACAGCGCATTCATGGGAAGACACTCACAATACGATTCCCACAACCTGGCAGTAAATTCTCCCAGAGCATATGGCAAAATGGTTTTGAAAACACAGTGCTTGGCAATAGCTCTTGATTTGATATAATATGATCCAAATCTTATGTTGCTGAGAGCATGAGAGAATGTAAAAGCTATGGAAGGTGATTTATCCCCCTTCATAACACAGTTTATGATCACCTTGTATAACAGGGTAAAGAAACTGTAACTCTCCCGAAGTCCTAACACTGCTAATGGTGAAGGGTCTGCAGTCTCAAATATCTACAGACCACAGCTATTCCCTCCTGTATTATGAATTCAGAAAGTGGAACACACCTATGATCAAATAACTTCCTTTTCATACAACAAAAGCCAAGGCTATGAAGAAAGAACAGGCTTAAACAATGTGAGCTATTTGTACCCCTCCAAATGTTCTTGGCTATAACTCTACTATGTCTAATCTTTAAAAAAAGGTTAAATAAAGCAGGCATGCAGTCACATGAAATTCACTTGGGAGCCTGAAGTATTTACAGTACAGCCAAAATAGAAGGGTACTACCTCAATAAAAACTAGAGCATTGTTCCTGTTTTACATAGAGGCTGAATGGCTGACTGTGATAATTAATATATGATAAGCACCTGAAGACTCTATATCAGACCCTTTTTCCTACATATTATTTTTTACAGACCTGTATGTGTCCGGGCGTGCCGTTGCAGCTCATCACTGCGTGTGAACCGCTTCCCACAAAGGACCCAGTTGCACACAAAAGGGCGCTCCCCTGTGTGTAGGCGCACATGAGCCCGCAGCAGAGAGGTCTTGCGGAAGGTCTTGCCACATTCAGGAACATGGCAGATATGCCTCTTCTTACCCTGGTCACCCAACCTGAAAGAAAAGGAAGAGAAGGGGAAGATTTATTTTGCAGCACTGGTATAAGGAGAATGGTGAGGAGAGTTGAAGAAACACAGATTTTCAGTGTCCAGCTGAAGCAGCATGTCAATAGAAAACAATGCAGGACAGGAATGAGATTCATCCCTAGCTGATTCTGTCATAACTGTGTGTGCTAGTTTACAACAGGCAAGGTAAATAGCAGCTGCTTCCAGGTTCCCTTACAGAGAATGTAGGAACACCAAAATAAAGGGGAAGGGGATGCGCAGATAAGACTGCCTTCATTATCTTTTCCCCAGCATGTTGAAAACAAGATGCATAGATTTGGCCAACAAATTGGAAATCATATGAAGGATACAGGTTGATGAAAGAAAGTAATCGATATACCCATTCTAGTTTCAAAACGCATTTATTTATTGGCCCAGTGCATATCTGACCTCGTGATTTCATTTGACATGTGTACATTGTTAACTTTGAATAGAAAATAGCTGAAACAGGTTGAATTACTTTTTTTTTTGGTGTGGTGTAGGAACCTACCACATATTCTTTTCACATTATTTCTGCTTCTAGTACCATTCTTTTTCCTGTTAAACAAGTTATGCCCAGAAACACATGCACTGGGGTATTTCTGTACTTTAGGGTTTCAGGCAGTTAAACAGTACCTCTATTTTGTTGAATATAGTTTCTATCTCCTTAACACAAATGGCCCAGAGCAGTTATTAGTAGAGAACCCTTGGGACTTTGGTGTCCCTTTCAGATCTAGTCCCAGTTCTCACCTTTTCTCCCCGTCCTTGCAATTGGGGCAGGTACAAGCCATTCGCCGTCTCTTCTCTCCTGGCTGCAGCTCTCCCAAGAGTGCCTGCTCCATCTGCAATTGGATCTGAGTGGGGCTCAGGCCACTGATAGTCAGGTTGTTGCCTGAGACATTTTGCACTGTCAGCTGCTGTTGGCCTGTGGGGAGAGGTGCAATGAAGCTACGGCTCACAGCATTTTCACTACTAGTGTGTGACCAAAGTGGGTAGTTATCTCAAGAAGCCACTGAACTGAGCCATGGAAAGTCAAGTGAATGTGCTAGCCAGCACGGTATATTCTTCAAAATACCTCCTTGAGATCCAGCATCTTATTCTATGGGTCCAGGCACCAAGGATTATGGGTGGAACCTCATTTCCACCTGCATTTGGTCCCCTATTCCTCTAACACAGTGGTTCTCAACCTGTGGGTCCCCAGGTGTCTTCACTTACAACTCCCAGAAATATCAGCCAGTTTACCAGCTGAGAACCACTGCTCTAACACCTCTCTTATTTTGAAAGCTAAGACTTGCATATCCTTTTCAACTTCAAAAGAATAAATGCTGTAGTAAATGTTGACATTCTTGAAAGGATAACGAATATATAAGTAGCAGGATAAAGAATCTACAAGTAGTGTGGAGAAGGGATAACAAGTAGTAAGGTGTTCAATAATTCTGTCACTGAATTTGACTTCTAGGTGTTCCATGTACCAGAGGTTGCACAGAGCAACAGAGTTATACATTCTTTTGAGCAATAATCAGAAGAATGTTATATGTGGTACAATGCATTTCCCAGTAATATACTTATCACTGATGCTTTCTGAAATATTTCTACAGGTTTCCTTTTTTCCTCCCATTGGTTTAGTTGATATGATTGCACTGTACAGAACAGGAACTTTTTATTCTCCTAATGCAGGCATGGGCAAACTTTGGCCCTCCAGGTGTTTTGAACTTCAACTCCCACAATTCCTTTTTTGTGGTATATTTTTATTGTGATATATGAGAAAAAAAACCAATATAAAATCTTCAAGATTCAACAATGAAAATACAGCTATTGTTTCCTCGGTTCCACCACCTCCCCATTTCCACCTGTGAACCACCACCTATGACTTCCGACACCACACCATATGGAACTAGCATCTAACAAAAATCTGTCCTTGTCATTCAACTAAAAAATCCTTGTACGGCTATTTCAAAATGTATTTTTGTCTTCTTTTTTAAATACCCAAAAGGCCAGTCTCCATCTTCTAGCAAATTCTTCTTTGTTTTCTCCCTTTAAGCCATTAGAGAGTTTGGCCATTTCAATATAATCTACTACTTTTCTTCTCCAATCCTTAAAAAGTAGTTCTTTTTCCCCTTTCCATGATTTCACTTTCAGAATTCTGCCACATAACTATATTGGCAAATTTCTACATCATCTTTACCAATTCTCTCCTGAAACAAATTCATTAAGGACATTTCTAGGTTTTTCTTAATGTTCTTAGTAATCATTTTGTTCGTTTCTTTAGTCACCTTTTCCCAAAACCTTTTAATCACCATCCAGGTCCACCAAACAGGGAAGAAGGTGTCTTTCTGCATTTTGTATCTCCCAACATTCCCCCCTTTAGGATATATTAATTTTAACCATTAATTTGGTGGACCTTTATGGTGGTAAAAAGGTTTTGGAAAGGTTTACCAGCTGTTAGGAATGGTGGGAGTTGAAGTCCAAAACACCCAGAGGGTCGAAGTTTGCCCATGCCTGTCCTAACTGCTATGCCACCGGTCCGTACTTTTTCAAAACTCTTTTTAAATATCAGATGTTCTCAGTTACCCCACTAAAAAGCAGCTCTGTATCAAACATTCAGCAAGAGATACTGTTTGATATAGAGCTGCTTTTTGGTGAGGTAACTGAGAACATCTAATACTCAATTTTCCATGTTTGGTGAACCCAGGAGGCAGTATACAAACAAGACTATTCCAAAACACATCTCACCTCCTGTGTTGGTGATAGTGACGGGAACGCCTTGAACCTGAACTCCATTGATGCTGATGGTCTGCATGGCCTGAGCAGCTGCGGCGAGCTGAGCAGCATTGAGGCTGATGATGCCCCCAGCAGGAGCGATCTTTGGCAGGGCACGCTCTTTGCGAGCCCCTGTCTTTTTGGTACTGCCTCCTGTTTGGGAACAGCGAGGTGCAGGACTGCTGCAGGAGGTGATGGAGGAAGCAGTGGGGGAAGGGGCCACAGTAATGCCAGGGCCTTCTTGGAGCAACATTGTTTGCAGCTCACCAGAAGGTGTCTTGAAGTACACCTAGAAGTAGGGCATAAAAAGATAAGGGGTGAAGTGCTACTTCCTAGCACTGAACACTTTCTGGCACATTATATGTCATCTCTCTCAAGTAGAGGAACAGCTACATAGTGAAAAGCAAGTTCTCACTTGCCTGTCACTACATTTTCTATCACTTCCCTAAGAAGGATAATGAATACATCCCATGAACACCTGGTATGCACCTCCTTAAATAGTTCATTGTTCCCTTCACTATGTGAATCCACGATGCTGTTTGCTTAACCCATCCGTACCCATGTCATGCTCAAAAAATTCATAAATGTACCTAACTGCCTTACAAGGTATAAGACATATATCTTCAATATCATTTTTGCTTGGCACCCTGATTGCAGCACACAGCTGAAATAATACATATACACTGACATTTTCTTTTATTTCATGACTGTTTCTAAGTCACCTGAAATACAAAAAATAAATAAGACAAACTGAAACAAAGTTAACTGATATATTTTTGAATTTAAACCTACTTTCATAACTACATTCAGTATCAATCAATTCCTAAAGATGGATTGGGTTATAAATTGAAATTGAATCCAGATAAGACAGAGGCACTCCTGGTCAGTCGAAAGGCCGAACAGGGTATAGGGTTACAGCCTGTGTTAGACGGGGTTACACTCCCCCTGAAGACAGGTTCGCAGCTTGGGTGTGATCCTGGACTCTTCGCTAAGCTTGGAACCCCAAGTTTCGGCGTTGCTCAGGGGAGCATTTGCACAATTAAAACTTGTGCGCCAGCTGCGCCCGTACCTTGGGAAGTCTGACTTGGCCACGGTAGTCCACGCTCTGGTTACATCCCGCATAGATTACTGCAACGCGCTCTACGTGGGGCTGCCCTTGAAGACTGCCCGGAAGCTTCAGATGGTCCAGCGCTCGGCAGCCAGGTTGCTAACAGGAGCGGCACTCAGGGAGCATACCACTCCTCTGCTGAGCCAGCTCCACTGGCTGCCAATTCGCTACCGGGCACAATTCAAGGTGCTGGCTTTAGCCTATAAAGCCCTAAACGGTTCCGGCCCTGCTTACCTCTCCGAACGCATCTCCACCTATGAACCGACGAGGACGTTAAGATCGTCCGGGGAGGCCCTGCTCTCGGTCCCGCCTGCGTTGCAGGCGCGGCTGGCGGGGACGAGGGACAGGGCCTTCTCGGTGGTGGCCCCTCGGCTATGGAATGCCCTACCCGTAGACATCAGGCACGCCCCTTCGTTGCTGGAGTTCCGGAGGAAGGTCAAGATGTGGCTCTATGAACAGGCGTTCGGTCAACATGGCAATTGAACTCATGAAGACGGTATAAATGAACAAGGAATGGTAGAAGGATTACGAGAACGGAATCTGATTCTTACTGAGGCGTTGATGACTATGTTGTGTTGTTTGTATTGTCCGTTGTGTATACTGTGTTTTTAACTAATTGTTATTGTAATAAATTGCATTGTAAACCGCATTGAGTCGCCGAATTAGGCTGAAAAATGCGGTATAAAAATAAAGCAAATAAATAAATAAATAAATAAATGAATACACAATCAACAGATTTTTGATAGAATCACAGATCAAGAGGAAAGCTGTACAGAAAAATGAAAGACTATGGGACTCCTTATTTGTGGAGGAGTATACCTCAAAATATACTGCCCCCTGGATGGTGCAGCAGGTTAAACAGCTGAGCTGCTGAACTTGCTGACCGAAAAGTTGGCGGTTTGAATCCGGGAAGCGGGGTGAGCTCCCGCTGTTAGTCCCAGCTTCTGCCAATGTAGCAGTTCATAAACATGCAAATGTGAGTAGATCCACAAGTACCACTTCTGCGGGAAGGTAATGGAGCTCCATGCAGTCATGCTGGCCACATGACATTAGAGGTGTCTTTGGACAACACTGGCTCTTCGGCTTAGAAATGGAGATGAGCACCACCCCCAGAGTCAGAAACAACTAGACTAAATATCAGGGGAAATTTTTACCTTTTTTTATACCTCGAAGTACAACAGATTCCACTACAGAAAGCCATCTTTCCATATGGATAAAAAAGTGATTCTCAAAAGGTATTATTTATACATCCATATAAAAAAGAACAAACCTACTGCATATGTAACTGACAAGATTCCAGTTCATCCCAGAATTCCAGACAAACATGACTTGTACTGGAACTCCCACAATTATTTACTGTCTTTCTGTATCACCATATAAGCAAGAAACATACAATGTGGACACATGCCAAATAACTCATAAGCCATCACATCAAAATGAGACCATACCTGAGTGGGGACGGGCTCACTTGTCTGGATCTGGAAGTTTTGTGGGGACTTCTGGGGAACTGTGGGGAGCGTGGCTGAGGCCGCCTGGACCACCCGCAGAGCTTGTTGGGGGATCTGAACAACCTGTGGTTCTTGCTTGGGTTGGACCACTTGTACCTGTTGGACCACTGCTGGCTGGCCAGACCCAGGGCTCTGCACAATCAACAGATTGTTCCCTGCCTGGATGATATTTTCAGCTGTGGTCTCTATCAAGACTGTCTCCACTTGCTCAGTCACAGCCATCGAAGCTGTCTGGGCTGATGACACCGCCTTCTTACGGGCCTTTTTGCTTGGTTTTGAGGGGCTGTCTGGGACAATCTGAGTCTGGCTGTTAGTCTCTCCAGCTGTGACCAGATTACTCACTGGCAGTGTAAGGGTGACGTTCCCACTGGTGCCGGTTAACTTGACAACGTTAGTGGGGCTATGGACAGCAGAGGCCGGGGTCTTGTGAGCTGGTGCTGGTTTGATTGGCACAGGCTTATGAGTTGAAGAAGAGGAGGAGGAAGACGATAAAGAAGAGGAAGTAGGGATGGAACTTGGAATAATCTGTATTTGGTTGCCCAAGTTCTGCTGGACTTGAATAGTCTGCCCCGATGTTGTTTGTATCTGTGGAACTGCCTGGTACTGGATGTTGGCAGGGGAGTGGGCCCCTTTGTTGATTACAGCTGGGTTCTGGATGGTAAACACTAACTGCCCCCCAGGATATGAGGTCCCAAGTTGAGAGCCCTGGATCTGGAAGAGGTTCCCTTTCGAAGACAAGATCCCAATGCTGTTCTTGTTGGAACTCAGTGGAAGTGGAGCAGGCTTGATGGGGACCAGTTTTCGAGGGGCAGGCTGAGGAGGGGCAGGAGAGGCAACGGCTGCTTCAACAGCTGGAGGACCAATTTTACTACATGTGGCAGCAAGGAGGGCGAGTGGAGATGGCTGAGAATCCTATAGGAATTGAAGAAATATGGGTGACATCAGAGGCAGGTTGACAAGCAAACAGATCATTTCAAATTCAACAGAGCATAGTAAGCTGGTTATGAAACCTAATGTAGGGACAACAGTCATGAATCTGATCATTCTGGGAGATGCAGCTTTGTTTTATCATATCCTTGAATGAGCAGTCATTACCAAGACTTAGTCTGGCTTTAGGCCCATTCAAATCAATGGAACAAATTATTTCTGATACGGACTTAAATGTGGCTAAACATGACTAACCTACGGTATGTCTGATTCCAAACTTATTAATTTGATACCAGCACATTCTCAAATGTATTTATTTATTTATTTACTAGCATTTATACTCCACCCTTCTCACTTCGAAGGGGACTCAGAGCGGCCTTACAATGAGCAATAATTCAATGTCATGTAAAACAAACATATGATCAAATAAACATAATGATTAAGATATACAATCAAAAACATGTAAATATTAATACCAATTATTAAAAAGCACACAAACCAAAATCATACTCCAGGAGCCATTCCAGTCATTGTTACACATATGCCAATTTCACTTATTGTACTACATTATTAACCAAAGGCTTGGTCCCATAGTCACATTTTCAATTTCTCCCTAAAGGTCAGGCAGGAGAGAGCTGACAATGATTTCGCTAGGGAGGGAGTTTCACAGTCGAGGGGCCACCACTGAGAAGCCCTGTCTCTCGTCCCCACCAACCGCACCTGCGAAAGAGGTGGAACTGAGAGTAGGGCCTCCCCAGACGATCTTAATATCCAAGATGGTTCATAGAGGGAGATACGTTCAGACAGGCAAGCTGGGCCAGAACTATTTAGGGCAGTGGTTCTCAACCTGTGGGTCCCCAGGTGTTTTGGCCTACAACTCCCAGAAATCCCAGCCAGTTTACCAGCTGTTAAGATTTCTGGGAGTTGAAGACAAAACATCTGGGGACCCACAGGTTGAAAGCCGCTGGTTTAGAGCTTTATAGGCTAAAGCCAGCACACTGAATTGTGCTCAGTAGCAGACTGGCAGCCAGTGGAGCTGACATAACAGGGGAGTTACAGTCTCAAAATAAGCAATACCTTTCTTGACATAGAGCTTTGAGTGTCTGAAGTGCTCCATATATAGACTGTCTCAGAATTTACAATAACCCATTGCATTTTTGTGGAAAATATTTTATTGGAATATCTTTAATAATGAAAAGAATATAGCAAATTCTGCCCTACACCTGAGAGAACACACTTCTTAAGTGTTGCACCTGATGTATTCTGTACCAACAGTTTAACTTTCATGTTTTGAAGAATAACCTTCAGTTCCACTCACTCTCTGCACGACTTATCAGTTTCATTTCAAGCTAAGAAAAAAAAACTGATTCAGTACAGATAGCTGAATGTTCTGATTCACTAAAGGTTGGATATGAATATGAAGACATGGGTAATATATTCCATTTTATCTTTACTACCTGCATTTTGACTGGCTGACAAGCAAGACATTTTTTTGAAATAGAAACAAGCTTAGAAGTGCATTCATTTGCTAGCCTGTTCTTCTGAACATTAGAGTATGACAATTTTTGTCTTCTGAGAAGAATAACTAGAAATTTGGATCCTATATTAGGTGCATCCAACATTACTGAAGGGCCTCTGGTCGTGCAGTATGTTAAACCACTGAGCTGCTGAACTTGCTGACTGAAAGGCTGGCGGTTTGAATCTGGGGAGTGGGGTGAGCTCCCGCTGTTAAGCCCAGCTTCTGCAGTTCAAAAACATGCAAATGTGAGTAGATCAATAGCTATCGTTTCTGCAGGAAGGTACCGGCGCTCCATGCAGTCAAGCTGGATGACTTTGGAGGTGTCTGTCTATGGCAGGGGTCCTCAAACTGAGGCCCGGGGGCCAACCTAAGTCTGAAATGACTTGAAAGAACACAACAACAACAACCCTATCTCATCAGCCAAAAGCAGGCCCACACTTCCCATTGGAATACTAATAAATTTATATTTGTTAACATTGTTCCTCATTTTAATTATTGTATTGATTTTAAGTGTTTTTTTACACTACAAATAAGATATGTGCAGTGTGCATAGGAATTCATTCATGTTTAAAAAGTTTGTGGACCCCTGGTCTACGGACAACGCCTGCTCTTCGGCTTAGAAATGGAGATGAATATTACCCCGTAGAGTCAGGCATGACTAGAATTAATGTGAAGGGGAAACCTTTACCTTTTAACATCATTGATTGCAATACAATACTTCAGATAACTATAAATAAACGGATACTTACATTCATGTACATGTACATATGGCATGGAGCATTTTCCACTGATATTGGAAAACATTGGCATAACAAAGGTTTCACATACAGAGCTGTCCACATGCAGTTATTTTCCACATGGCTTAAAATTGAAAACATAAAGAGTACTTTATACAAATGCAACTGATAAAATACCTAAACTTGGGAATGGAGGAAAGAGTGGTATGTGTGGAAACAAAAGCCAAGTGAGATGTAACAGAAATGACTTTGATATCTATTTAAGTGACGGATTCGGAAAACTTCGAACTTATTTTCTGATTTACAAATAAATAAAGTGAAAAGGATGTGTGAAGGAAAATATCCCGGCAGTACATCTGAATGCTCAAAGGAGACACTTAACACAGTTGCATATCAAAACATAAACATTTCGAGTCTTTGTTATGCCAGCTAGGCATCTGCAAAAGGGGGATTTAAGGAGCATTTAATGGAATAAACTAAAGAGAAACCACTTCAGACATTTCAACATGTGGTTTCCCTCCATTTTGCAGGAGTAAATCTAAAATATCCTTTCTTAACAGAAATCAGTGGTAAAGAAAAGCCTAACAAAAGTAAGAGAAGTCATTTGAAGGTTTTTTGTTACAAAGGTTTGTAATCATCGCGACATGCAGTTCCCTGTTACTGAAACAGCATTCTCCACCACCAGCACCACAAACTCCTAGTCTTTCTTCCCACAGATTTCTACTAACTACTTTCCAAGTTTCAAACAGCAAAAGAAAAAAGCACAGCTCTAAGGTACATTACATAAAAGGATTGTGATAATGAATGTTCATATTAGCCCTAACTATGCAACATTTATTTATTCTCCTTCTCTTGTAATTAAACAGGCGAATAGAAATCTATATTATTCCTATCTTGTGAGCTAAAGAATAAGGAAATGTTACCAGTAAATTATGTGTGATTCAATCAGGCAGCATCCACGTTTTTAATGGAGTAGGGGACTTCTTAGCTTCTGGGAAGCAGCTTGGTTTGGGACCCTCCCCTTTTTCTGATTGGTTTGTCTTGGGTTTGAAACTATTTTATCAGGAATATAAGGTATTTCTCTACTCTGAAGGCCAGGGGGCAGCAGTAGCAGAGAAAGGATTTCTCACTTTAGTTGGGAGACAAAATTCAATTTGACCCAGATACAGATTGCATTCAATTTGGAAAAGTAGTGGCTCAATGTTATGGAATTATGGGGGTTGCAGTTTTATAAAGTCTTTAGACTTCGCTGCCAAAGAGTCCTGGCACTTCACCAAACTACAACTTCCACAATTCCATAGCATTGAGCCACAGCAGTTTAAATGGTGTCAAACTGCATTAATTCTACCATGTCAATGCACGCCAAACAAGAACTGACTGCAAGGCAGCATAAACCAAAGCATTTTGAAACTTGAAGCGGAAAATCCAAATGTCATCCCTTGCCTATTAATTGACAAGTTTCTAGTAGGAAGTGTCAGTGATTTGGAGGCTTTTCTGCATGTGCTCCACCAACATTATTTATTTATTTCATGTCAAAAGCATTGCATAAATAAATAAACAAATAAATAACTGATAAAATAAAGGGAACACAAGTAGCTAAATAATTTTAGACCAAAATGGGCAACAGCAACCACATTGTCCGTAGCTTTAAACAGTTCTTCTTCTGTTGAGGCAGGGCATTGTGGGCAAGCATACAGATGTTGTTTGTTCTGCTTCACAATCCAACAAGGTAGAGAATTATTCTAGATAGTGCCATTTTGCCAGGTTGTCTTCTGATCTGCCAACTCCACTTCTGAATCTGTTCAGGGACTTCCAAGTTGCCCATACTTGGCTTGTCTCTGGAGGAAGACCCTCATGCGAGGCCACCCAATTGGAATGGCTTGATTTTGCTGCCCACAAGGATATGCTTGCTGTTGCTGGAGGAACATTTAGAAGAGTGAGGGTTCTCATGAAACTTTTCCTTGATTTAAGTTTACTGGGAGGAGGCTAATAGCCATACAGTGGGTGGCATTCAATTTTCAACCTTATTTCTCTTGCAATTGGCAGCAACTTCTGCCAACTGCAGACTTATGTCAGATGGGGCAGGCATTCTCAGCAGTTGAGTAAGATAAGGCCAAGGCTGGTGTTCTTATTAATTTTGGGTCTGCACCCCATGTGCTACCAGTAAGTTTCCACAGGATGTTATTACGTGCAGCTATTTTGTGTTTGCACAGTGTTAGTGTTCGATCTAAGGTGATGCCGAGATATTTAGGGTGGGAACAGTGTTCAAACTCTTGGTCTTCTCAGGTAACTTTCAATTTCCTGCTAACTTCACAGTTACATAGGTAGAAAGTGCAAACTTGTGTCTTAGCAGGGTTAAGCTTCAGGTGGTTATCTTAATAGTAGCTGAGGAGATCTTTCAGGGCATTAGTAAGTTGGTTCTCAACTGTTTCAAAGACTTTTGCTTGTGTTGTTAGGCCAAGGTCATCAACAAAGACACACACACACACACATCTTTGTGAGTGGTGGCTGTGGCTGATCGTTAGAAAAAATGTTAAATGAAGTCGGTGAAAGAACACTGCCTTGATGTAGACATTTTACTTTTTGCCTCCTCCATCTATTTTTCCTGCCTGAAACTTCACATAGAAGCTGTGGTTTTCTAGGAGGATCTGGTTAGTTTTTGCAAAATCATAGTCCCGGGTGATATGGTAGACTTTATGCAGCATTTTCCTGTGTTGCACCATCATATC